ATGGGAGACAGATCACCCGCAGAAACATCCTGTTAAGAATGATCAAAATAGTCTTCACTGAAAGCTATCTGTTTACATTGGAGGAAGAGTTTTTCTTTCAAGCACTAGATATCAAACCCAAACACAGTAGGGCCCCATCCGGGCTGTGAGGTAGACTCCCTTATGGAGCTTGGCAAACTCCCAGTGTCAGGCCACACCCCTAACCGGTACTCTGGTTGCTATGGGAAGTGTAGTGGGTGGGATCTGGGAATGGGGTTTTGAAAACCTCCCAGGAGATTCCACTGTCTACTCAGGCCTGAGCCCCCCACTTCATGAATCTGACTCAAGTCCATCTATGCTGGGCTGGCACCTGGGGCGCCTCAGGGACCTGACACCTACGAAGGGGAACCTGTCCGTAGCACTGAACAGTGTAGAGATAGTACTTGCCATTGCTCTGCTACTTACAAGGGTGGCTGGGCATCTTGGTTGGACTCAGCCAGTGCACATGGCTCTGCCCTCATGCTTAGCTTCTCTTTCTTGCATGTTGCAGGCAATGTGCCTTAGCTGCCTTGAGAGATGTCAAAGTGTACCTGACACAGGAAGGAGGCCAAATTGCGGTAAGTCTAGGGAAGACCACTGTCTTCTTTGTTAATCTCTTACCAGCATGGCATCCCCAAGAGAGCAAATTGTAGGAGCTGTGGGGAGTTACTGCATAGCTACAGCAAATGTGGACAAGCACCATGGGCCTTGGAGGGATTGAGGGTTGAGAGCCACGTGGTTGGAGCCATACAGTGGCTCAGCAGGGAGATCAATGGGGCTGGGCCCGAAGAGCCACCAGCTGGGGGGCTCTGTTCCCCCACTCCTCTATGGGAGGACCTGGGGTTGCTGCCAGCCACAGTAGCTGATGGGTTTTCCATATACACCCTCCTCCTGCTGCGTGTATCTTTTTCGTTAGTTTTAAATCTCTTTTCCCACCCACCCCTCCTCCCACTATCCCTCAGCATTGTGGACAGTGGGAGTTGGCACAGGGCTGGACCTTGGGTACTGTGGACTCTTAGGGAGACCTTGGGCAACGCACAGTCCCTTCTTGGAACAGACGATTTTGGCCTAGTCTTCATGGAAGTGACAGGCCTGACCTAGTTGGGTTTGTAGTAAATCTTGCTTAAACTCAAAATAAGGTTCCTCTTCACTGCCTGCCCTGCTTTCTCCCTGTCAGGTTTTTGATGCCACCAACACCACCAGGGAGAGGAGACACACGATCCTTCATTTCGCCAAAGAAAATGATTTCAAGGTGAGCCAGGCTTCCTGTCTCATCTCGTCCTTGGGAGCAGGAGAAAGGAAACAACTTTGAGGTGGACTGTGACTGGGGGGCCAACCTTGCTTCGTCCTTGGTACCTGACAGCTCCTGCTGTCTAAAAATAGGGCCTTCCTGTGTTAGGATGTTTAGAGGTTAACTGGACATGGGGCACGGGGTTGGGTCAGCGGGCCTTTAGGTATCTGGGGATTTGGGAATGGAGTTCTACTTTCTGTGTAAAGCTCACATCGTACTGATCTCAAAGCTGGCCTCTTCTCTGTATGCCTTGGTCTGTCTCCTCACAGTTTGTCTTGCTTCCACACAGGTGTTTTTCATTGAATCTGTTTGTGATGACCCGACGGTTGTGGCCTCCAACATCATGGTAAGACCAAGAAGAAAGCCCCGGTTGTAATGCAGTAGCTTAGGCTGCGAGGACAGCCGCAGACTGTGCAAAGTGTAAAACCAGGCCCTGCCCGGAGAAGAAAACCAAATTTTTACAGTGATCACCGATCCTCCCCGTTTTTACTGATTTTGTTTGAGAGGCGGAGTTGCCAACCATTCAGCCTGCTCAGGAGAGTGCTCACCGAACTTCATCCTAGTCTCCCATTTCCCGGGCTTCAGCCTGTCTTTTATTTATTTATTTTTCTGTTTCAGTTATCATTCCTGCTCAGCCATATTAAATACAAATTGTTCCGGTCAGTTGATGTGTGTGACAGTAGTTCGGCAGGCCCAGATGGTGTGTGGCATGCTGTTTAGAAGAAAGGACACACGGGCTTAGTCCTGTCCAGAATAGTCGGTTTCCAAGACCGGGTCGAAGTAGTATAGTAAAGTCATCTTCCTGATAGGCGAGCCTTCCCTGTGTCACAGAGAGGTGATTGGCAGCTAACTTCTCAGTATGATCCGTTGAAAGTAGTATTCCATACACACTGGTAGAGGTGGTTCTGGTGGTGGTTGTTTTTTTTTCTGGTGGGGTTTTACCTGTAGATAGGTCACCTTTTCTTGGAGTAGAGAAGACAATGTTCTGCTCAGATGCACGAGAAGCAGCTGTGTCTGTAAGGATAAGCACTTTCAGTGTTTCTCCATGGGACTCTCTGGGGTTGCCGTACCAATGAAAACCTCGTGGCTGTCAAGTCGATTGCCACTCACGGCAGCTTCCCCGACCCCGCGTGCCAGAGCAGAGCTGTGCTCCATCAGGTGCCCAATGGCTGGTGTTCATGCCAGGCCTTTCTTTCCAGCCTTCTACCTTTTGGTTTGCATCTGAGCATGTTACCCACATTTGCCATCCCCCAAGGGGTGCTCTGGATAGCAGTAGATGTTCCCAAGGAGAGGGGGAGCCTTGTATTGGAGTTTTTCTCCAAGGTAGTAGGGATATCGCAAGCGTTTTTTAAGAAATGGGTTCCTCATTCAGGAAGAGCTCTTCAGATTGTGGAAAATCCACTCAGATTTGTTCCTTTGGCTCCAAAGGAAATGATTCAAACCACCAGAAAGCAGATGTTGCAATGCCCGAGACAAAGGGTGTCTCTGTGACTCCCTGGTTTGGCTCGATACTAGTTTCACTTGGTTGTGAAGCACAGTGCAGCTCCCAGGCAATTTCTTCTGCCCCGGGTGTGGCCACCCGTGTGTGAGCTCAGCTGGGAGATCCCTGGTCACTCGTCCCTGCATTCTTCAGCTCATTTAAGTCATGGGTCCCAGCCTCCCGTCTCCAGAAAGCTCTTTCTCTGATGAGGACTCAGAGCAGCTTGGCGGGTCAAACCTCCCCACTGTTCTTTGTGTGTGGGCAGCTGTGCGCGCACGAGGAAGGGATTTATGAACTTGGACTTTGGAAGAGTGGCTGCCTTTCTGTCAGAGCCCTGGGAGACGTTGAAAGGAAAAAAAGCACAAAGAGATTCCCAGTTTCCGCCCAGCCTCCCAGCTTGCCAGGGCCTGCTGCTGGGCAACAGGATATGGCTCTCAGGGTCTCTTCTCCACTTCCTCCCATGAGAGCAGCCCTGAGCAGGGCGGCCCATGTGGACACGGGAGAGCAGAGGCTGGTAGTTCATAAGAGGCTGGCCACAGGGCTTGGGCCTTGGTCGGGGCTCGGAGGATGGCGGCTGTGCCCTGGGAGGCGTGTCTTTTCATCAGGCCAGGGTTGTGGCGAGTGTTGCAGAAGCGCCCATGGAACTGGGTTGGATTGCAGGCCAGGGCTCCTGAAGGGTGGACTGTTTGGGAGGTTTTCCTGAAGGGATCCTCGTGGATGCCCCGTCTGGGTCCTTTCCCGAGAACCTAGCAGGGGCGCCCCTCCCGCCCCGCACTTCTTTACGTAGCACCATGCCTTCACCACCTCACAGTCACGTGATGACTCAGCACCCCTGGTTTCTTTTTTTTTTAAATGGTTAATGGGGTAATTAATTAATTTAAACCGTTTAATAAGGGCCCAAAAAACCCCTAACAAAAACCAAGAAAAAAACAAATGGGGAAAACAAAATTGGAAAATCAATGCCCCAAACCCCCGGGTTCCTCCAATTGGCCCAAAAAGGCCGGGGAAGGGAAACCGGAACCGGAGCCTCTCTCTGCTCTCCCCTCTGGAAAGCTCCTGATCCTGCCTGCTCTCAGCAGAAAGAAAGCCTCCCCTGCCTGACTAATCGTCCTGTTGCCTCTCTGGTGTTTCAGGAAGTGAAAATCTCCAGCCCTGATTACAAGCACTGCAACTCGGCCGATGCCATGGAGGACTTCATGAAGAGGATCAACTGCTACGAAGCCAACTACCAGCCTCTCGACCCTGATAAGTGTGACAGGTAAGGCCCGAGAGGGGCCAGGTGTGAGCCGCCCACCTTTGGGTTCTCACTGTTTGCCCGAGGGAGGTTCCCACCCAGCATATCCATTGCCAGTGAGTCGATTCCTACTCATAACAGCCCTATAGGACAGAGTAGGGCTGCCCTATAGGGCTACCGAGGCTGTGAGTCTTTAGGGAAGCAGCCTGCCTCGTGTGTCTGCCACAGAGCAACTGGTAGATCCGAACTGCCGGCCTTTTGGTTAGCAGAACAAGGCATACACTACTACACCAGCAGGGCAAATAGGTATTCCCTGTAACTATTTCGGGTGCTTCAGAGAAGTATAGAGAGTCGGTGTACACTGGAGATGTCATCTCGCTATTATCCCGCCAGCTGTTTCTTTCCTGTTCCCTGCTATTCCGTCCCACTTCTGGGAATCCAACAAGCCTTGTGGGCAGGCCCTCTGGATGGACACTGGTTGCTGTGTTCTAACTCTCCGGCTCTTATGGAACAGTCAGCCGTTGCTCTCAAGGAGCTTATATAGTATTGAACTGGCGGCGTGAGTCTTCTGGACACGGAGCTGGGGGTTGTCCTTGCTGGGCTGCCGGTGCAACGCTCTGAGGGCTGACCCTTGGCCGCGCTCCCTTGCAGAGAGCTGTCGTTCATCAAGGTGATCGATGTCGGCCGGAGGTTCTTGGTGAACCGAGTCCAGGACCACATCCAGAGCCGGATCGTGTACTACCTGATGAACATCCACGTGCAGCCCCGTACCATCTACCTGTGTCGACACGGGGAGAATGAGTACAACCTCCTAGGGAAGATAGGGGGTGACTCTGGCCTGTCCGTCAGGGGCAAGAAGGTAGGTGGGTGTGTAGGGAGGGACCAGGAAGGCAGGCCTGCGCCCTTCCTGCTAGGGAAGTTGTAGAAGCGGCGGTGGTGGGCAAGGTGTTGGCATTCTCTACTGCTGCTGCCTGTGTGTGTGTGTGTGTTGTGTGTGTGTGTGTGTGTACAGGGACTGAAATGTAAGGCTCTACTGGGGCTTTGAGGAGGCGTGACCCACTGTGTTCAGGGAGATCAGCCTGGTTGTTAGGGGCTGGGGCAAATTGTTCCCAGTCTCTTCTCCATTCTAATGGCAGCAGAGGGCCAGTCCTTAGGGTGAGGGTGAGTGGATCTTGCCACCCCTGCTTCTGTGAAGGAGGAGCAGGAGCCCCGGTGAGCAGTGTCCCTGTGTCCCCTCTCAACCCACGTCCTCTCAGTTTGCCAACGCCCTGAGCAAGTTTGTCGAGGAACAGAACCTGAAGGACCTCAAGGTGTGGACCAGCCAGCTGAAAAGCACCATCCAGACCTCGGAAGCCCTGAAACTTCCCTACGAACAGTGGAAGGCGCTCAATGAGATCGACGCGGTGAGTGGCTGCCCGTGGCCGTGTGGGAGGGACAGAGGAAGAGGGTTGTGTGTGTGTGGGCTCTTTCAGGCAGCCACACGTTAACATGGGCCCTCGGGGCTACTGTCACTTGAGTGACCGTCCGCTGGGTGTCCCCTCCAGGGTGTTTGTGAGGAGATGACCTACGAGGAGATCAAGGAGACCTACCCCGAGGAATACGCCCTTCGAGAGCAGGACAAATACTACTACCGCTACCCCACGGGAGAGGTACGCGTGTGGGCGCAGGCCGGCCTCCTGCTGGCTTCGTTATCCACCCGGAGGCATTTCCCTCCACGCAGCATGATAAAGTGTGTGTGTGCTGTGTGTGGCATGCTCATGAAGCACCTTACAGCGGCTAGGAGCGGGGCCTGGAGGGACCCCAGGTTCACACTGGTTGTGCACGCTGGGCGGTCAGCCCCAAGGACGAGGGAGTCTGACATGCAGACAATATCTGGTCGCCCTGAGTCAGAATCGACCTGACGGCAGTGAGGTTGAGTTTCTGAGAGCCAGTCCTGGACACTTGTCACTTGCTCCTCACACGGAGTCGAGTTCCAGGAGACACCCTGCCCCCCTGCCCCCTCCCCAAAGGCCTTTTCCCTTCAGTGAGTGACAGATGTGTGAATCCAGTGACATCTGTAATGACAAGGGGGAGGGAGAAGATGGGTGCACATGGACGGGCAGCTTCTCAAGCCTGCTGTGAAGGCCACCTTGGCTGGAAAAGCACTGGGCGCCCAAGGGAGCCTTCCTCTAACCCCCGTCAGCCTTAGGCATAGCTTGGCTCTCGTGTTGGCACGCACACAGCCTCACGCTGACCCGCCCTCAGAGGGCCCGTGCTAGTGAGAGAGGCAGGTGGCTGCGGCAGCAGTGGCTGCGAGGGCCTGGTCTTAGAGCCACAATCCTGCCCCTTAGTGCCTTCACTTTTTATTACGCTAAAATGCACCCGATGTACAGTGTACCGTTTTAGCCCCTGGAAGGGGCCCGGTAGACCGGTTGTTTGTCCACTCACCATGTTACGCCTTGCACCCATCCTCACTGCCCCTTTCTGTCGCCCAGAAAGAGACACCGGGCCGTCGGCAGTCAGTCCCAACGTCCCCCAGCCACCACTGCGCTGTTCTCTGTCTCTCTGGACATGCCTTTCCTGGATTCCTTGTGTCACAGGGCCGTGTGAGCGCGGGCTCATCCCACTCAGTGTGTCAAGGGTCAGCCCTGTTGGCCCTGCAGACCTTTTCAGGCTGCGCATCTTCGGCACCCCTTCCCAGCTGCCCTATCTCTCAGTCCCGAGTTGAGGGTTAGAAAAGAAGTTGCTCAGAAAGTCTGGCAGCTGGCTTCTTGCCATGCAGAAGGGTACGCTCCCCCACCCCCACCCCCTTGCTATCCACACAGGCGATTGGTCTTTTCCAGGAAGCTGCTTGTGCTGGTGTCTCCCTGGTGAAAGGGTCACTACTCTCCCGGCTCTCCCATTAGGATGCAGCCATCACACTGACCCTGACTTACAAAGACCCTATAGTAGGTTCCTGAGGCTGTAAGTCTTTATGGGAACAGACGGCCTCATCTTTCTGTAAAGGAACAGCTGGGGGTTTGAACTGCTAACCTGGTGGTTAACAGTGTCACAATTACTCAACAGTGCCACCAGAACTCACAGGGGAGTGAGCGAATGAGTGTCCGCTGGCTCAGGGGGCTGGGGAGGTGTGGCCGGGTAGGGGGGTTCCCACCTTTCCTCGTTCCTGCTCTCTCTCACACAGCGCCCCACCCTCTCTGTCTTGCAGTCCTACCAGGACCTGGTCCAGCGACTGGAGCCCGTGATCATGGAGCTGGAGCGCCAGGAGAATGTGCTGGTGATTTGCCACCAAGCCGTGCTCCGCTGCCTCTTGGCGTACTTCTTAGATAAGAGTGCAGGTATTGTCCATCCTCTGAACGCTTCCTGTACAGGGGTACAGGGACCCAGGGAGCTTCACATTTCCGGAAGAGGAGAGAGGAGGGCTAGTGCAGCATCTGTAGACCATATCATGCCCCACAAAGATGTAGTTTCTGGAAGCTCAGAAAGTCAGTGTGCGAGGCCGGCTGCCCAGAAACCTCTCCTCTGAAACGAGCCCCCCGTGGTGGCCCTAGGACTGTGGAACGTGGCCCAAGGCGCAGGCTGTGGGCTTAGTAGCCCTACTACAAACACTTCCAGAAAGCACCTGGGGGTTTGGCTTAGGGAGAAGACACTTCAGCAACCTACTGGTGGAGCAAAGAGCCCAGAATACTCCAAAGATGCTAAAACAGCTGTGTCTTGTATCTGCCCTCAGTGCAGTTGAACCCCAAGACATACCTAGTTGTTTTGCGAATGCCTTTAAAAAGAAAGAAGCAACTAACTGCAGGAGCCCTGGTGGCATCGTGAATTAATTACATGTTGGACTGCTAATCATGGGGTCAGCAGTTCGAAACCACCAGCCACTCCAAGGAAGAAATTGAAGCTTTCTAGAATTCCAGTCTTGGAAACCCACCGGGGCAGTTCTACTCTGTCCTAAAGGGTTGCTTTGAGTTGCCATCGATTTGTTGGCAGTGAGAATGCAGGCATTGTTTAAGGGTAGGTTTTTAAAGTTTCTGCTCCTGGTCTGTGTGCTGGGGGCACAGGTGTGTCAGAAACTCTCACTGTGCCCTGTGGAGATGGGCATCTTGAAGCCTGAAGCCTCCTTCTTACCTGCTTGCTTTTCAGAGGAGATGCCCTACCTGAAGTGTCCTCTACACACCGTCCTGAAGCTGACGCCTGTTGCTTATGGTAAATGAGGCAGCCACTGCTAACATGCAGCCCCCTAGCTGAGCGCATCCCCATAGCTGGACTTCGTGGGGGCCGCGGAGCTTTTAGCAGGCTTCGCACCTCCCGCTCCGTTGACTGAAGCTGTGCTCTCTCCTCAACCCCTGCCCCAGGTTGCCGGGTGGAATCCATCTATTTGAATGTGGAGTCTGTGAGCACGCACCGGGAAAGGTCAGAGGTGAGTATGCACCTCGGTGCCCCCCACCCCCTCAGCGCCCCCACCCTGTCCTCGGGCACTCGAAGAACTCCGTGCACACTCCAGAGGATTGAAGTATGGGATGGGCCCATCGGTTACAAGTGGTGGCATCTGCCAGTCCTGTGTGATTCTCATTGTCGTAATAAAGAAAAGAAAATGTAAAAACATACATAACCCAATGTTTTTGCCATGCCCAGCATGTTGCGCATGTATACCTCAGGGACACCCCCTGCGTCCCGTCCTGCTATCATTATCGTCCTTGGTCTGAAGCAGGCCTGTAGACTTGTCCCCTCCCTACCTCCACATCTGTGTATTTGCTCCGTCATCCTCATGGCTTCTGGGAGATGCTTCCTTTCCAGCCCTTGGAACCCTCTGAAGGGTTCAATCTCAGCAGACAAAGTGAAATTGGAACAGATCTGAATTTTTCAAATGTGGGTGAAGCGAAACCCTGACTGGAATAGGAAAAATTATGGGTCAGCGCCCTGGAATGGGAGCGCAGAAGCTGTGTCGCGAGCCCTCTCAGGAGCCGGATGTGGGAAACTGGGCTCCTGCCAGGACTGTGGAGAAAGGCACATAATCAGAGTGGCCCACCGGCAGCCGTCTTTGAGAGAGGCGGTGTTTCTGACACTGCTGTTCAAGAGCTCTGGTTGCGAGGCAACGTGCATGCTGCCTTTGTTTTCTAAGAGGGCCAATGGGTTTCTAGCCAGGCATCAACCTGTAATTTCTCCCGGTCTGGTTACTGTTCCAGATGGAAGCCCCGTCTCTATTGTCCTTTCCTCTCTGTCCTGAGAAGTGGCTCTTCCAGAGCAAGGCACGTTGTCAGCGTGCGTGAAGTACCCGCAGCCCAGTTCCTCGGGCGTTTTCCTCACAGGCAGCCGCCGCCGTGAAGCAGGATTGGGTTTCGCCTTCATCTTCCGTGCTTGGGTTCAGATGTACGAAGGCAGTGGCCACGTAGAGCAAGGGAGCGGGCTTAGAGAAATGCCGGTCTGATGTGGGAGTTAGAGATAGGAGGCGTGGTAAATGGGAAGCTGCTTTTCCAGGAGACCGGCCCGGTGTTTGCTTTTGTGTGAGTTCCACCCCAGAAGCACTGACATTCAGTGGTCTTTCAGGTGGAGCTCCCACCGAGCACATCAGGGCTCTGCCAGGGTTGCTGTGCCGTGGCAGTATGTGGTGGAATGAACATCCACTTGGCTTTGCCGTTGGGAATCATCCCCTTCCTGGTACACCAAGTGTGGCCCGTGTTAGTCACCTTCTCCCTTGTGCTCTTATTAGACCCCTCCTTGCACACCAAGCATAGCATCCTGTCCACACGAATCCTCCAAAATAAGCTACTGCCTGGGCCCCCAGGAGCTCAGCTACTAGATTTGGGCATCACAGTTGTCAGCTCAGTGTACTCTCCCCTGGGCAGGGACTGGCTGGCTGAGACGGCTCCCCCGATGTGGCGAACCGGCTGCTGCCCTGCCTTCGTTGAGCCAGGAGCCAGCTGGCTGGCAGGGCTCCGGCTGGTGCAGGCCCTCTGCCTGCCTCCAGCCGGCTGCCTCAGTCCTTTGGTCTGGCCTGAACTCAACTTGCAGCGTTCCTAAGACTTCCCAGGAGAGGACTGCATGGGGCCCTGACAGGACTCTAGCTCCTGAGCCACAAGCAGACAGCCTGATGGACTGCAGGACCCCTGAGGCCTGCCCCTGCCACCAGATAGGTGATTCTTGCTTCCTCTGACCCGTGGGCTCTCCGCCCGAAGCAGCCGCTCACGCTGCTCACAAGGCTGAGGCTTGGGCCTGGCTGGCAGGGGCTCCTGGCAGGCTGATTTTGAGCCTTCATTTCCGCCCTAGGGCAGCAGGTTTATGGGGAGCAGGAGTTGTTCCCGGTGGACTCTGCAGAAAGGGCAGGTGCTCAGGCCTCAAAGGGAAGCGGAGCACAGGCACCTTTCCTCTCCGTGGTTGCCAGTCAGCCTTGCTCCTGTGGCCCTCACAGCCGGTCTCTCCCTTCTGCCCTCCCTCCCCCCTCCCTCGGCCTTTCTCAGAGTCCAGAAGAAACGATTCTTTCCTTGGCGTGGAACCAACGCGGGCCCGCGTCCTGTGTTCTCCCTTCACCTGCGCACCTTCTGTCCCTTGCACATGCCCACTCCCACTGTCCGTGCCGGGCCTCCGACCGACCCGGGAGAGGAGCCTGGCAGGAGGCTGTCCCCTAGCCACAAACTGCAGTGCTAGGGGCCCAGGGCCTTCCCCGGGGCCACTCTTAGTTTCACCAGAAGCACAGAAACTTGTCATCGTTAATTTGCTTATTTACTTCCTGCCTCCTCGTAACTGTCGCCTTCTCCCTTTTGTCTTTGTCTCGCTTAGGATGCAAAGAAGGGACCTAACCCGCTCATGAGACGCAATAGTGTCACCCCACTAGCCAGCCCCGAGCCCACCAAAAAGCCTCGCATCAACAGCTTTGAGGAGCATGTGGCTTCCACTTCTGCTGCCCTGCCCAACTGCCTGCCCCCGGAGGTGCCCACGCAGATGCCCGGACAAGTCAGTTGATTCCCATTTCCTTCTCTGTAGTCACAACGCTTGCGGGGGGGGG